TGGGGGGCTTCCCTGCCTCTGATAATTAAACGTTAATTCTGCTATGAATAATGTATAGAAAGACAAAAACTTGTAGGAAGTAACCTAGCTATTAGTATAGTCCTGAAGAAAAAAAAGATTATGAATATCTTCAGGCAATAAGTGTGGTAGTCGGAAAAGGAAAAAAAAAATACTGAAATTTTGGACTTACCAAAACGTAATGACAGAATGAATGTAAACAATGAGAGAACCGAGGAAGAAAGGCCAAATGTTTTGCCTTAATCTTTGTGTCTGTAGCATTTATATGGCTGACCACACTTTCTCTCTCATGAAATAATACATAGAGGCTTTTAGGAACTGTAGTTTCCTAAATATTCTCCCAGCTTTCTCCTTTGTTCCCATCAATTAACCTTGCAGTTAGGTCATACTGTTTTCCTTTCTTCTTTTCCCTTGGGTATCACATTTTTCTCTAAAGATTACATATACTATAGACCGTTTTTCAATTTACCATTTAAATTTCACTTCTCTCCTGAGCTAAAGATTTAGATTTCTGTTGGATATAGCTAACTGACAGTCATGCCAGGTGCTCAAATTCCACATATAAAAACAAATCTGCCTTTCTAAGTCTGTTTGTCCTCTACTTCTATTCTAATGGCATCAAAATCTTTTTTTTTCTTTTTTTGGAGACGTTTTTACTATAGGGCACGTGCGCTCACCAGAAAGCCAGAGAGAGACAGAGAGACAGAAAGTGAGAAATCAACCCCCAGGGGGGATGGCCATGCCGCAATCCCTTCTCCTCCACTCTCCTCTCAGGATCTTGGGCACGCATGCACACGTGCCCGGCGTGAGTTTAAGCTACTAGGTCCAGGACTCAACCTGCAGTAGACTACATGGGAGTCCAGCGACAAAGCCATTACACTGAGAGATTTTTGCTATAGGGCACGTGCACTCGCTAGAGAGACACACAGAAAGAGAAAGCAAGTAATCACCCCACAAAGGGAATGGCCATGCCGCAATCCCTTCTCCTCCATTCTCCTCTCTGGATTTTGGGCATGCACGCACAGGCAACCAGCGTGAGTTTTAAGCTGCCAGGTAGAGGGCTCAAACTGCAGTCAACTACATCTGAGTCTGGCTACATCACCATTATGCCATTTGCTGATCCCAATGGCACCGAAATCTTAATGGCATGGTTATATAACTGTTCCCTCTTCTTTCTAGCCACATACTTACAATGGTACACCTACAATATTCTCACAACTTTTAGCCTGCTTCTTATCCACATTCAAAAAATCGTCAAACTTGAGAATTAAGTAGCTGCCATAGTATAACTCTAACATATAGCTTCCTCATAGCAGTGCTCTCCTAAAAGCTTTCAGTAGCTCCCCAAAGATGACAGAATATTGAGTCCAACTTTTTTTTAAGGCCAAAATCTTTAATATGGCTTTGAAGGGCCTACAATGCCAGGAGCCAATCTACTTTACTAATTTTATTTCGCAGTATTGTCTCTGACATATTTGGTTGGATGGAACATGTTTTTACCCCACACTTTCTGAATGCCATTACTTCACTCTCATCATTTCTTCCACATTTAATTTAGTTCTCCTGATCCTGTAGATTGAAATCTTCCAATCCAAATCAAAAGCCTCCTTCTTAAAGGAGCCATGGATCTTCACAGCCAAAGAAGATCTCTTTTCTAAATTTCTATAATACTTATTACATTTTTTATATATTGGATTATTGGGAAAATCATTACACATGTTTGCATAGAAAAACAAAAAAATATGTCATGACCTTACCAGCAACCTAATACTTAGCAGTCTATCCATAATTATATTTGTATTCATGTTTACTATACATCTATTTATCAGCACTGAATCTCCACACACAGTGTATTACACATAGAAATTACACTAACTGAGCAGCAAGTTCATTGGGACAAACCTAATAACCTTTTCACAGATTACTCTATAATTTGCTAGAAATATAAGAAATACATTTAGAGATGTTATTTATCTAAAGCACATTCAAAAGCCATGAGGTCTTTGTTTTTATTTTCTGTACTAAATACTAGCTTAAAACATAATATTGAAAATAACCTGCATTCAGTTTCCAGACATAATGATGCAATTAAAACCCACATCACTTTGTCTATACACCAGTGCTGTCCAATGGAACCTTCTACACTGATGGAAATGCTCTATATCTGTGCTAGTGTTTTAATGGAAGCCACTTGCTAGCCAGACATGGCTATAGACAATCAATATGCTACATGACTAGTATGACTAAGAAACTCAACTTTTAAATTTTTCTTAATCTAATTTAAATACAAATAACCACTTGTAGTTAGTGTCCACCACAGTGAGCAACACAGCTATAAATAAAAAAAGTATTCAATAATTCATATTAAAAGTTACAGCTTCTTGAGAGATTTTGACCACTAAAGACCCTCTGCCCAGGTATCACCCTTCTGCTCCCCAGTCTAGCCAGGAGCCAGGATAAGCCAATCAGCAGCCATCTATATTTGAGTTCTGAGCGGTCCCATTCAGGGATTTCGACCACCAAAGACCCTCTGCCCAGTCTTCACCCTCATGCTCCCTAGTCTAGCCAGGAGTTAAGTTACAACACCCTACTTATTCTGTCTCTTTCCATCTCCCTATTTGTATTTTTTTAATTTTTAAACTCAGTTCTCTGCTGCTCTTTTGTCTTTCTAGTTCTTATGTTTCCCCCTGCCCCCATAGGATAAGCCAATCAGCAGCTATCTATATTTGAGTTGTGAGCAGCCCCATTCATATGGGAAGCTAGTGCACCCTGCAGTTTTCATTTTTTGACAATAATAATTTTTCTTTTTTTTTTCCCCTCTCTTTGTTTTTTTCTTTTCTGCTCAGCCTTCACACACTGATTTTCTAAACAGGTCTAGGTGGTTGGTTGCCAAATATCAGAATACTTTTAGGGTCAGATTAATCCTCAATTTTCATTGAATCAGCTGTGCAGACTGCAGGTCACCTCCTTTTGCATTCCTCTGGTTGCTCAGATTTAACTCCAAAAAATAGGAAAAAAACGTATAGTTCGTGAGATGACCAGAAACCACCAAAGAGGTATAAGAAATATGAGAAACCAAGAAACTAGTTCTCCTCTAATGGAAAATAGCTCTTCTTCCTCCACAAAGAATACAAGAGAATTCATGGAAATGTCAGATAAAGAATTTAAAATATTCATAGGGATAAAGCTAACAGAGATGCTAGAGAATAGGGACAATGAACTCCAGAAAATGCAGAAGAAAAGAGACACTGAGTTCTAGGGGGTGAGGAAGTTCTTGCATAATATGAAAGAGGAGATACACATAATAAAAAAGAATCAAATGGAATTGTTAGAGATGAAGGCTGTAATACAGGAAATTGAAACTTCCCTTGAAAATATCAAAAGCAGACTAGATCATTCAGAAAATTGAATCTCAGATATGGAAGGTAGAACCTCTGACCAAGAGAAATTCACCAAAAAGACTGAGAAAATAACCCCCCCCAATTGAGAATAACATACAAGTAATATTAGATACTATTCAATGTCCAAACACCAGGATCATCAGTATCCTAGACGGTGAAGAAACTAATAAGGGCATTGATAATCTATTCCATGAAATCCTGGAAGAAAACTTTCCAAACCTAGAGAGGCACTCAAATATCCAGACCTAAACAATACAAAGGACCCTACATAGAATCACCCCAAGAAGATCTTCCCCAAGGCACATCATAGCCAGATTGACCAAAACCACAGACAGAGACAAGATACTAAAACTGGCAAGAAAGAAATGTCAAATTACTTTCAAAGGATATCCCATAAGGCTAATGTCAGACCTCTCATTGGAAACAATGCAATCAAGGAAAGAATGGGAAAATATATTCAAAGTGTTAAGGGAAAAGCAGTTTCAACCAAAAATACTATACCCAGCAATATTTTCCTTCATAAGAGAAGAAAAGACAAAAACATTCTCAGATAAACAAAACCTGAAAGAATTTACCAACATCAGACCAGCTATCTTAGAAGTGCTGAAGGGAGTGCTATAACCAGGAAAACTAAAGTCAGACACACAGATATAAGAGTACAAAAAACAACAAAGAGAATGGCCAACCTAAGGGTAGGGACAAGTCTGGAGTTGAATGTTAACTTCCAGAGTTTAAATGGAAAGATCAGACCACAGTAACACTGTAAATTCAATAGAAGAGAGATTAATTACATGAGTCTGAACTAGTGAAATAGAATTTTTTTACTTTAGACTAAAACATTACTGATTTCCTTTGATGCTTTGATTTCTGTATTTAAGAATTTTTTTCTTCTCTTGAACTGCTGACAGGTTTATCTACCTACTATTTGAACTGAATCCTAATCTTTTTCCTGGCTTTAAGTTTTAAGCAAATCTCTCTTAATATTTTTTTATTTTGATCTATTAAAACTAAAACTTTTTTTTGAAATTAAAAAATGCATTTAAAAATGCCTACTAATACCTATTTAATGACTGCAGTAAGCTATATAGCCTCAGTGGCGTGCTACTTTATAGTATGTTTACTTTACTTACTGAGGTTTATGCCTGAAGTCAGATATGCCTTCATAAATATGTATATATCACCTGTACTTGTAACTGAAAGTCTTTAAATTAAGATCTTTAGTGAATCAGTAAAATGTGAAGAAAAAAAAAAAGGCATGGAAAACAACTGTACATATCAGACAGTGTGGGAGAAGGGGGGAGTTAGCAGGTGAGAGGTAGGGAATCAAGGGGTGGGGGAAGCAAACAATGTAAGAAACAAGAAATAGAAAATTATCTGTTGATGAGAGCATGCATAGTAATAATCCTTGATTGAGTCAATATATAATGTATACTGGATGGAAAAGCTCATTTTTGTATACTGCACTGATGTACAGTGAATGACTGTAAATAAATAAATTTATTAAAAAGAAAGTTACAGCTTCTTTATTTTATATTACTACTAGCAGTGTATGAGAGAAATATGAAACAGCACAACCACTTTGAAAGTGTCTGGCAGCTCCATAACCTAGTGGGATGAAGGAGCTTGATAACACATGGCTGACAATGCGGTTTGAGTCCCTGCCCCAGTGACTTAAAAAGTATGTGCATGTATGCCTAAAATCCTGGTAGACTGGAGAAATAGAGGAGAGGGACAGGCATGGTGTCTTTCCTCTCTTCATTTATCTTTGGCAACTGAGCCTTCTAGCAATGAAAACTAAAATTAAAAAAAAAAAAGTCTGCCAATGCTCAGTTAAACATAGTTATCAGGAGAGTAATAATTCCATTCCTAACCCAAAAGAAATGAAAATATATATCCAAATAAAAACCTTTACACAAATATCCACAGCAGTCTTTTTTATTATAATAGTAGAAACAAACCAAATGCCCATCAATTAAAGAATAGATAAAGCGGGAGCCAGCAGGTGGTATGGTGGTTAAGGCACTGGATCCCAAATGGCTGACTGCATGGTTTGAGACCCGGACTCAGTGGCTTTTGAAACACACTGGTCTAGGGAACCAGCAGTTAGCGTAATGGCTATGTCTCTGGACTTCCACGTAGTCAACCGCGGTTCGTGTCCCGGACCTGGTGGCTTAAAACTCACGCCAGGCGCGTGTGCATGTGTGCCCAAGATCCCAAGAGGACAATGGAGGAGAAGGGATTGCGGCGTAACCATCCCCCCTGGGGGGTGATTTCTCGCTTTCTGTCTCTATGTCTCTCTCTGTCTGGCGAGTGCGATAGGGAAAAACCCCCCAAAAAAAAAAAAAAAAAAAAGAAAACCACATTGGTCTGGTGTATGTACATGTGTGTGCCTAAAATCCCAGGAGAAGAATGAAGGAGAAGGGACTGTAGCATGGCCATTCCCTCTGGGGGCTAATTTCTCACTTTCTCTCTCTTTCTCTCTTATGAGCACAAGCACCCTATGGCAAAACTCTAAAAAAGAATAAATAAAATATGGTACACACACACCTAATGAATTATTACTCAGCAATAAAAATTAATGCAGCATTGATATATGTTACAAAGTGGATTAAAAAAAAAACAGTCACAGAAGACCACATATTACATGATCCCACTTATATGAAGTATCAAGAATAAGCAAATTTGGGACCACAGATGGTGTATTCGTTAAGGTGGTGGACTCCACATGGCCAACTGCAGTTTGAATTTCAGACCCTATGGCTTGAAAATCAAACACAGGAGAGTGTTTGTACATGCATAAAATCCAGAGAGGAGAAACTGCAGCATGGTAAACCTCCCAAGAGGTGATTTTTCACTTTCCATCTCACTGTTTCTCTCTGGTGAGTGGACATGCTCTAAGGCAAAAACAAAAACAAAAAAGAACAGGCAAACTTATAGAAGCATGTAAAAAAGATTTTTGGTTGTCAAGCATTAAGGAGAATGGAAAAACTGGGAGTGACAGTTAAAGAGGATGGAACTTCCTTCTGGAATGATACAAATGTTCTAAATGCGATTGTGGCAATGGGTTACAACTTTCTAAGTATACTAAAAGTTATAGTATATAGCATGACATGTGAGTTACAACTCAATAAATCTTTTAAGTATAGCTTTTATTAATTCCCATGAAGAAACCCCACATCTTAGAAAAATTGTCTCAGGCATTTATTGAGAAAACACTTAGCAGAACCAGCCAGTGGCATGGTAGGTAAGGTAGATGAATGTCACGTGGTCAACTTTCAAATTCAAGTTCTAGACCCAGTGGCTTGAGAAACACACTGGGCACATATGCATGTATGCCCCAAATCATGAGAGGATAATGGAAGAGAAAAGATTGTGGTGTGGCCATCCCCTGGGATGCTTTCTCCTTCTCTCTCTCTCACTGGTAGGTGTATGCCCCCTACAGCAAAATTACAAAACAAAACACCCTTAGCATTCAATTGTAAATATTAAGTAAAATAATCAAGTATGCCTATAATAGCCTTTTCATTCTTAAGTTACAGAAATAAAAGCAATTATGTATTTTAGAGCAAAAAAGACCCTCAATATCTAACTTACACAGTAGCTAAACATTTGAGCACAAAAGGTATAAAAAAATGTAAGTTTAAATGTAAATGAGCGGTATCTGGGCAAATATAAAATTTACCAGTGACAAGTGCAGAAAACATTTTCTGCGACTAATATTAGGTTTCTATCTTTGGTTGGCAATGAAATACTAAACTGAATGTTTATATGGTTACTCCAAAATAATCATAAAGTCATACCTCAAAAACATCAACATGATTAACAATATGCTTCAAGTTCTCAGAGGCTTTTCTACTAGGCATCGCTGGTAAGTTCCCAGGAGTGATCTCAGCTTCAGGCTCATTGATCTTCTGTATTGAGTTTCCTATCATATGCTTTTCTCTTTCATCAACTTTGTTTTTTACTGGTGTCGTATTCTCTGAAGTCTAAGTAAAAGGAAAAATACAGAACTCATGTTTTAAGTTTTATATCTATTCATTCACTAAAGCTCAGATAAAAACTTATAATTTATCAACTTCTTATTCTAGATGGTGGCTTAAAACTCACGCCTGGCGTGTGTGCGTGCGTGCCCAAGATCCCAAGAGGAGAATGGAGAAGGGACTGCGGTTTGGCCATCCCCCCCGGGGGGTGATTTCTTGCTTTCTGTCTCTCTGTCTCTTTCTGTCTTTCTGGCAAGCACACGCGCCCTATAGCAAAAACCTCTTCAAAAAAATAAATAAATAAAACTCATAGCACCGGGACCAGCAGTTAGAGTAATGGCTATGTTGCTGGACACCTATGTAGTCGACCGCAGTTTGAGTCACGGACCCGGTGGGCTTAAACTTACGCTGGGCACGTGTGCATGCACGCCCAAGATCCTGAGAGGATTGTGGCGTGGCCATCCCCCAGGGGGGGATGATTTCTCCCTTTCTGTCTCTCTGCCTCTCTCTGTCTTTCTGGCGAGAGCGCGAGCCCTATAGCAAAAACCTTTCCAAAAAAAAAAAAAAAAAAAAACTCAAAGACCCCACAAATAATCCAAAAAAAAAAAAAAAAAAAAAAACTCATAGCACTCACAGATAACACCCCACTTTGGGAACTGAAAGCCCCCAAAGATCTGGAACCATTTATGATTTAGCTAAAGCTACTTCTCCTTTCAGAGGTTGTAAGGCTAGGGCAGAAAAATGAGTCATAGCTTCATGCTTAACTCAGGATAATTAAGATTGTTTTCTGCTCCTTGTGGAATGCATTAACTAATGACCTAACAACATTTTTATTTCTGTGATACAATGTGTGTGTGTCAGAGAGAGAAAGTCCACTAAAGGAACATAAAATTCAGGGATTTATGACAGTTTCTGAAATATCCCCAGGAAATGTTATATGTTGGTCACAGTATAGTTGTGTGTCACATAACAATGTTTTGGTCAACAACAGGCCGTATATGTGACTGCTATACAGTATACAGCGTAGATGTGTGGCTAGGCTACACAGTCTACATTTATAGAAGCACATTCTATAATGTCCACACAACAAAATCACCTGACACATTTCTTAGAGCACATGCCAGTTGTTCAGAGACTCATGACACATACATTACATTTAAAAACAGAACTGGGGAGCTGGCAGGTGGCGTAGTGGTTGAGATGTTGGATTCCCACATGGTCAACTGTGGTTCAAGTCCTGGCCTTCGCAGCTTTCTTTCTCACTTTCCCCCTTTCTTTGTATCTCTCTGGTGTCTCTCTCTAGTCAAATTAAAATAAATTAATAAGTAAAAATAAATGAATAATAGAATTGGGTAATGTGGATCAATACTTCCAGAGGAAAGAAAAGAATATTTCCTTAATAATGACTTTTCTAACATATATTATCTTATTCTTTGTTCAGGCAATGATTTTTCAAAGACTATGTTGATACTACTCTGCCAATGTGGCATTCTTTAGTCAGAGAATGGTAATAATAACAATTAAGGGGTTAACTCATTATACTTTCCCAGTTCAGGTAGCTGAGAACAAATCCATAAATTTGGAAGTACATTTAGCATATATAAAAATAATCATTATCACAGTTGTCATTTAAAAATTTTAAAGAACTTGAAATATGCTTTAGTCAATCCTGTTTGAGTTTTCTAACCTTCACACCCATATCTTTATTTACAACTTGCTGATCTTCATGTGGTTTCGAATCTCTTCCAGAGTCTTCACTGCTCTCTTCATCTTTTAACCTATGCACGATGGTTTGAACAGTTTTGACCATATTCTTAAGCTCATCTGGGTACGGTGTTGGATATCGCTTCAAGTTTCCCTCCTAGAGAAATAAGTAAAATACAGTTTAGATAAATACTTCTGTCAATCTCAAATAAAATTTAATCTTAATCTATCCAAATTATGATATCTAGCTCACTGTGATAACTGTGAAGACAGATCATAGATTTTTAAAGCATTTTAGGTTTGATAAAAATATGGTTTTATCACAAAACAGTCTGAGAAATCACAGTAAACTTAAATATTTTAAAAATTTTTAAAGAAGAGTTAAATATTATCCATTTGGAGATAGTGTGGATATTGCCAAAAACATTGTTATCTGGCTTTAAAACAGATGTGTTTTAGCTAGATATTTCTAGCTAGATAGATATATAATACTCAGACATTCATATACTTATGTCTCGTATGCTAAAAAACAAATTCTCCCAAGGTCACCCTAACTGTCATTTTCTGGGATTCAGTTAGTTTATGTAAGGGGCAAATAATGACATCTACAGCTGATTTGGAAATAAGTACTTGATACTCTTAACACTGCAATACGAATTCTCAATCTCATAAACAATGCTTAGGCCAGCCCATGGCATGGTGGTTAAGGTGCCTAAATCCCACATGACTGACTGTGTGGTTCCAGTCTTGAAAAACACACCGGGCTAGAATGTGTGTGCCCCAAATCCCAACAGGCAGGAGAGATAAAGGAAAAGGGTTTGCGGCATGACCATTTCCCATGAGAGTGCTTTCTCACTTTCTACTCCCTCCACAAGTGTGAGCACATGCACCCTCTGACAAATTAAAAGAAAGCAAAAAGTAATAGTGTGTTCATAACAAAGAATTCTTTCTCTAATACTTACATAAATAAATCTTTAAAGAAACTGAAAGACTAGAAAATGATCACTACAAATATGGGGAGAGGGGACCGCTAATTCAAGATAAAATTCCTGGTCAATTTCTCTAGCCTACAATAACCATTTTCCTCATGTTTATATATACTATAAAATATATATACTATAAAATGTAATCACAGTTTTATACTGCTCTAAAATTCTTTTTCATGTGAAGTCTTTATGAACTGAAAAGACTTCAAGTGACTCGAGGACAGGGAATGAATCCAATACTTCGTTGCATCCCCAAAACAGAATAGTAATGGTATATTATACCAATTGAAATAGTAGCAGCAGCACTTGGCTGAAGCCACATGGGGCAGGCAGCTAGATTTTATTTTCAGCCTATCCTATAAGGCCAGGCATAGTAGGATATACATTGAAGTGCAGCTACTTGGGAGACTGAGGTAGAAGGATAACAGCGAAGTGAGAGCATGTCTAAAACACCTCTCTCACACATATATAAACTCTACTCAATTAAAAACAAACAAAAAAGAAATAAAATAAATATTAGTATCAACAGACCTGTTTCAAATCTGAAGGAAGAAAGAAGAGACTCACCCTGGGAGGTGCCTCCCTTTCATCTTTGTCTTCATCACATTCAAATGCAACTTGCGCCCGCTGTTTCCTCTGTTCCTCCCACAACGAAGGATTAAAACTTTCATTATCTGATATGAACATAACTAGAGAAAAGTAAAAAAATTAAAAAAAACTATTTTATTGCAATTATGCAAAACTATTACGTTAATAATTTCCTTTACAGGTTCATTACAATAAATCTAAGATGATTAAGTCTAGTCAATGCTATCAACTATAAATCATAGGGTAATGACTAGACCTGACTTTGAGATTATAAAAGTTCTTTACAATGTTGATCACATGTATTTTCTTCCCTGAAGTTGGTTTATCTGGTTACAAGAAATGTTCCTGAAGAGTGTCTGATTAAAATATCATAGACATGTAGTTTTGTGTAGTGCCCTAAAGAGGTAACATGGTAAAACAAATAATTTCATCCAAATTTTGCATTTTGTATCTTTCTAATTCTACTACTTCGTTATATATTGGGGGGACACAGTATGGTAACAGAAAGAATGAGGTATTTTGGTGAAAAAGGATTGCCCTGATGGCATATAATTTAATATTTACATTAAATGTTATATATACTATAAGTTATACTAATATAACATTTTTTCTCATTTAAAATGTAAAAGAAATTAGCATTTTAGTAGAAACTCAATGTTTATATAATCTTGCTATGATATATATTTTAAAGAATTATTTATTTATTTAATTCTATTTGTTATTATTATGATTTTTAAAATTTGACCAGAGAAAGACAGAGAGAGAGAGAAAGGGAAAGTGAGAAAGCAAGCCACCAGGTCCAGGACTCGAACTGCAGTTGGCCATATGGGTATCCACTGCCTTTAACCACCACACTACATGCTGGCTCCCTATTATATATAATAAGAAGAATTAAAAGTTAACTACCCTTACAAATATTTTATTTTCTATTATTAGGTATCATTAAAAAGCTAATTAAAATAAAAATTAATTCACAGGGCCAGCTGGTGTTGTTATGTTTAAGGAAACTGGATCCCACATGGCCTACTGTGTGATTCAAGTCTCTGACCTGGGGGCTTCAAATACACACCAGAAGCATATATGTACATGCCCAAAATGCTGAGAAAAGAAGGGATCATGACATGGCTATACCCTCCCCAACCCCCAGCAGTTGCTGTTTCCCCATTTTCCCTGTCTCTCTAGAGAGCACACACTCTCTAAGTTATCCAAAAAAAAATCAATCAACTATCGTATATTACACTACAGAAATTATAAAATACAAAACAAAATCACAACTTTTTTGCCTATTAAAAGAAAATGACTGATACGAGCAGATGGTGTAATGGTTACGTTGCTGGGCTCCCATGTGGTTCGAGTCCCAGACCCGGCAGCTTAAAACACACGGGGCACGTGTGCATGTGTGCTCAAAATCCCGAGAGGAGACTGGAAGAGAAGGGATTGCCATACTCCCTTTCTCTCTCTTTGTTTCTCCATGGAATGCATGTGCCCTATGGTGAAAACAAAGAGATTAAAAGCACTCAATACTAGTTTCAAAACAGTAAGGTCGGCAGATGGCGTAATGGTTATGTTGCTGAACTCCCATGTAGTCTACCGCAGTTCAAGTCTCAGACTCAGAGGTTTAAAACCTCTGTGTGTGCATGCCCAAGATCCTGAGAGGAGAGTGGAGGAGAATGGACTGTGGTGTGAGCATTCCCCGGGTAGTGCTTTCTTGCATTCGGTCTCTCTCTGTCTCTCCAGTGATCGTACACACCCTATAGCAAAAATCTCTCTTAAAAACAAAAAACAAAAAAACTAACAATGGGCTCGAGTACATGCATGCCAAAATCCTGAGCTGAGAATGGAGGAAAAGGGGTAGGCGAGCAGCCACTCCCCAGGGGGTGACTTCTTACTTTCCCTCCCTCTCTCTCTACAGCAAGTGCACACACCCTATGGCAAAGACCTTTTAAAAAAGTGTTGACTCTCCGACTGAGGTTTGTGTCCCGGACCCGGTGGCTTAAAACTCACGCCGGGCGCGTGTGCGTGCGTGCCCAAGATCCTGAGGGGAGAGTGGAGGAGAAGGGATTGCGGCGTGGCCATCCCCCCTGGGGGGTGATTTCTCACTTTCTGTCTGTCTCTCTCTGTCTGTCTGGCAAGCATACGTGCCCTATGGCAAAACCCTCTAAAAAAAAAAAAAAAAAATGTTGACTCTCATAAAGCTTTTCCACCTTTTAGACCACTCTGCCTATCCTTCTTCATTACTGCTACTAAACTTTCGATTCCTTAATTATCTTCTTTAAAATCAATCTAGGCTTTTACTTCCTTCTATAATAAGCCTGGATTTCATATACATTAATCACTATCACTTCCCTCAAATGCCCTCAACCCAAATGTCCACAAATTTCCTTCACTTAACTGTGAAAAGAAATGCAAAAAAAATCTCAGACTGATAATCCCTATTTTCCCAGCTAAAAATTTATGATTATATGGAGGCAAATTTTCAGTTTTGTTTAAGACTGATTCTGCTACCTAGGTCCCAGATCTCATCCTACTGCTTCAAACTTATTTGTCATTACCCACCCTTATATTCATAAAGGCAAGAACATCTGTCTTTAAACACCTAGCTCCAGCACAATGCCTGCCACTCAGGTAGGTTAATGAAAATAGAATGAAGTGAATGAAAACAAAGTGTCCACTTTTCTCAAATTAGTGTAAAACCACAACCCAAGAATATTGTATTTTCTGATTTATTTATCTCTTACAAGCACTGATAAACAAAAAGCTTTTCTTGAACCTGAAAGGAAATTCATAAACCTGGCCACACTAATGCAGTTTCTGATTTGGAACTGTGAGTGTATTATGCTTATAATACCCATTGTGAGATACTTTGAAATATGAAATCAAAGATGCCTCAGAATATTGTAACTGACATTTGCATTTCAAATTTTTTCATTACATATTTTGCATGTTGAAACAAACCTCAAAGTAAAAAAGTATCAAAATCTTCTATTCTTCTATCAGAAATACATTTCTTACTTAAACTGTGATTGCTCTTTTAAGAAGAAATAAGAAGGAAAGATATTGAAATGTTAGAATGGGAAAAGGGAGCCATGTAGACTATAATCATGAAAATGAAAAACAGGTTGGCAGGCGTGGTGGTTAAGATGGCCACATGGCCAACCACAGTTTGAGTCCTGGACCTGGAGGCTTGCTTTCTCACTTTTCTTTTCTTTAACTGGTCAAATTAAAAAAATAATAATAATAAATAACATTAAATAATTGTGTTTTTTTTTAAAAAGAACATGGAAGACAGCAAGATGCAAGATTGAAGCATGAGTATACCCATGATTAAGACAGTTTAGAACAGGAGTCAGGAAACTTTTTCCATAAAGGGTCAGATAATAAATATTTTAAGCTCTGTGAGCCAAGATGCAACTGATAATAACAAGAATTATTTTGGACGATTGCTGTAAACATGAGGAAATATGGGGAAAGATTAAAAAAAAGAAAATATGGATATAAAGCATTTTGGTACTGATGTTTTATACAAACTTAATTTTATGCACTAGAAATTAAGAAGTTAAAAATAAGACATGCAAGGGGCTGGCAGGTGGTTAAGGGTGCTGAATTCCCACATGGCCAACCACAGTTCCAGTCCTGGACCTGGCGGCTTGCTTTCTCATTTGCTCTCTCTCTTTCTCTATCCCAATTAAAAAAAAAAAAAAAGGTAAATAAAAAAATTATTTAAAATAAATAAATAAAGTAAGACTTGCAAATGCTGCTTATGCCACCAACGGTGCAATGTGGGAAATTACCGTACATTCACTGTGTGTATACACACACACACAAAAAAAAAAAACACATATAATGAGAGAGAGTGCACAAATATTTAATACATCAATATAAGTTTTTTTGTTAGTCTGTCTTATCTACTGTGACTCATATCTCACTTTCTACCTTTTTTTGTCTCTGAAAATGATTTCTAGATAACAAGAGATAGTAAGAGAGCATCCCATAAATGACATTACGGTTGGCTATGTAATAAAATCAAATATTCTTTTATGTAGAAGGATAGAATACCAATACTTGGTGAGAAATGAAATAAATTCTTAGAGAAGAGACTTTAATGTCCTACTGCATAGCTTAGCAAACTACTTCAGTAAAGGGCCATATAATAAATAGTTTAGGCTTTGTAGACCATTAAGTTTCTGTTATAACTTGTTGGCGTAATGGCTATGTTGCTGGACTCCCATGTAGTCGAAAGCCATTTGAGTCCCAGATCCGGTGGCTTAAACGCACACTGGGCACGTGTGTGTGCATGCCTAAGATCCTGAGAGGGGAAATGGAGAAGAAGGAACTGTGGTGTGGCCATCTCCCCTGGGGGGTGATTTCTCACTTTGTCTTTCTGTCTCTCTGATTGAGTGGCCCCGCGCCCCCTACATAAAAACCCCCCCCCCCCAAAAAAAAAAAAAAAAGTGGGTAATCAACTCTGCTACTGTAGCTGGAAAGCAGCCATAGCGAATACTAGAGGTCTTCAAAATGTTTATGGAGAGGGTTAGCAGGTGTGTAGTAGCTAAGATGCTGGACTCTCACATGGCTGACAACTGTTTGAATCTCGACCTGGTGACTTGAAAAGCACACGAAGTACATGTGCACGCATGCTCAAAATCTCAGAAGCAAAGTAAAAGAGAAGGGACTGAGGTGTGGCCATCCCTCCAGGGGGTGATTTCTTTCTTTCCCTCTCACAGTCTCTGTCTCTCTGGTGAATACTATTCACCCTGTGGCAAAAACCTAAAAAAAAAAATTTAATGAAAATGTGTATTATGCAAAAAACAAAAACAAAAAACAACAACAACAACAACAACAAAACCTGCGTTGAATTAAAAAAAAAAAATCTTTTAAAAAGTTTTTGCTGGGGCCGGCAGGTGACATGGTAGTTAAGGGTGCTAGACTCCCACATAGCTGACCACGGTTCGACTCCTGAACCTGGCAGTTTGCCTTCTCACTTTCTCTCTCTCTCTGTCTCTCTGTGGTCAAATTAAAATAAATAAATGAGTGAATAAATAAAGTTCAATAAAATAATTTAAAAAAAGTTTTTGCTATAGGTGTGTGTGTTTGCCAGAGACAGAAAAGGGATTGGAGCACACATGCACACATGTCTAGTATGATTTTCAAGCCTCTGGCTCTAGGACTCAAATCACAGAGTTGGCCATGTGGGATACAGTGTCTTAACCTCCATGCCACCTGCTGTCCCCAGAGTTCAAAAGTTTGTGCAACGAAATAAATTCGGGCCAAGCCAGATAGCACAGTTGGTAGCAAAATGAACTGCATTGTTAGAACACAGGGTTGTCTGTGAGTTTGGATCCCTGGATTGTTCTGAAAAAGTCTGAATTGTTATAATCTAAAATCATCTTCTGGATATGGAGATACCAGCAAAAAGCCCTTCCCTTTACCCTTCGTCTTAAGGGTACTTTTCTTTCTCCCTCTAGTGTAAGCACATGTGCTTTTTATCATGAATAAAGAAAAACTTTCTTAAAATTTGAATTCTATTGTTCATGAACTTTTTGAAGTACCCCTGGATGTAACAAATAAATGCAACTGTGTTCCAATAAAACTCAGAGCTTTAACCATGATGTCACCTGGTGGTGCCTTGAGATTTTTTTTCTTTTTTAAATTAATTCTTCAAAGTCCCATCAACCTAGTAAGTCTCTGAGATTTAAAATTCGCCTCACACCTTACCTTTGATTAGTTAGTATTTGATTTAGAAAAGAAAAGGTATTTTTAAATTCCTACCATCCTCAGTCCTTGGCTGCTGAGGGAACATGTAGTTAGTAAGCACCATTTTCTGGGTCTCTGAATCAGTTTCTTTCTGAAGAGGTATCAGGGGTTTGGACTTAAAGAAAATAAATGTTTATTTTTCAATAACCTTAAAGTAAATAAATTCAACAATTCCTCTGAATAAATACTCACCATTTGTTCTATGAAGTATCAATGATAGGTTACAAAAACAAATTGCAATTCACACAATAAAACTTTTTTTTTTTTTTGAGAGGTTTTTGCTACAGGGCGTGTGCACTCACCAGATAGACAGAGAGAGACAGAAAGCGAGAAATCACCCCCCAGTGGGGATGGCCACACCGCAATCCATTCTCCTCTCAGGATCTTGGGCACACACGCACCCTGCGTGAGTTTAAGCCACCGGGTCCAGGACTCGAACCGCGGTCGACCACATGGGAGTCCAGTGACATAGTCATTACACTAACTGCTGGTCTCCACACAATAACACTTTAAATATTGACTTGATATAAAAATTCAAAACGAAGTATTTAAGTATGAAGCAAATTCACTGTATTGTAATTACTGAAATATCAATATTTTAAAAAGATTTCATACATTAAGTATATCTATAGTCCAGTAATTACTTATCATACTAATTTATTTAATAAAGTTATGAAATAAGCCTTTCCATTTTATGTTATTTTCACCTCTCTAGTATCCTCTTTTACAAAAATGTTTTTGGAAAAATCCTTTGAAAGATTTGGTTTAGTTATCTAGAAGCTTAACCAGGAATAGTTACACAGCTGGAAAAAGAATACACAAAACCTTTAAATTATACACTGCTTCTCTCTCCTCCCCTCATATCTCGTATCTCCATTATTGACACAAACAAGTCACTCAGTGATAAAACGCCCAAGTATTTTAGACCTCATTTTTCTTAAAGTTTTCTCCTGATTAATAAGTGTTAGTCAACTTAGTTTTAATATATCTAATTCTTTTTGCAAACCTATTATCCTAAAATACTACAAATAAAAGCACTGGGTGACTCCAGAGAGGTAGAGCACTACTCTAGCCTCTCCTCATATTCACCTTGTCAATTATTTGGACCTACTCTTGTGAAAACCTTTCAGCTAGTTAATTCTGTCCCATAATTTTACTTCCATTCAAACATTTCCTCTGTCCTTGTCCTTGTTCCACAGTAAATGAAGTATCCTTCATCTCAAACTTCTGGACATTTTCCTTGACTTTGTCAGAAAATATCAAGTGGTAGCTGTAATCCTTTCCCAAAGAGTAATTCCCTGACGCCTCAAACGAAGGTCATTATTCTCACTTCTCACCCACCCTACATCAGGAGGTGGATATGACACAATGCTATAAGATCATTTCCACACTATCCTCATATTTAACTCCTGTTCCTTTGAAACATACAATTCAATTATATGTCTTTACAATCAATTTCCATTCCTATCATCTACTGATCTTCTGGTAGTATCCATCTACTCCTGATTCTGTTATCTTCAATTTGTCCACAATCATGGGCAATTTTCTTTTTTAAAAAGATTTTTTGCCATAGGGCATGTGCTTTCACAGGAGAGAGGGAAAGTAAGCGATCAACCCGCAGGGGGATGGCCATAGCACCGTCCTTTCTTCTCCTGGGATCCTGGATATGCTCGCACATGCGCCCAGTGTGATTTTCAAGCCACCAGATCATGGACTTGAATCATTATTGGCCATGTGGGAGTCCACCACCTTAACCCCATGCCACCTGCTGGCCCAATCATGGGTAATTTTGGATATAAAATGAGGATAGCAAGACCACACTGTTGACATGGATCCTGAACTGCAGGCTATCTTGCCTTTTACTATGTCTATTAAAATGACCATCTAAAGATCTAAAAGCTGGCAAGTGGTGTGGTGGTTGAGGCACTGGATTGCCACATGGCTGACTGCAGTTCAAGTCCCAAGCCAGGTGGGCCACAATCATAACATACATACATATATACACATACATACATACATACATACATATATATATGAATAAATGTCAAAAAAAAATGGTCATCTATATCACTATTTGCCCTACCATAGACTGTATAGCACAAAGCAGTTGGTCAAAACATGGTTCTTAAAAAGTCACAAAATGAGGAAATAAACATTTGTTGTGTTCATACTTTCAGAAACTCATCAAATCCCATTATTGTATGTCTCTACATGGTCAGTAGAGCTTATTTTCATAACAATAAACAGAGCAACATATTCTCATAAGTCATAATCAAACTTCAATATTCTTTCTCCCTTACACTTTGTTCTTTTATGGCAATATTGCTTCATATAATAAAGTAAATTTTCTAACTACATCTATATTTTACTAAATATTCTTACCAACTTTGAGGAACAAGGAGTTCCACCACACAATTTTTGTTCTAAGACAATAAACAAGTGGGGATACAATGAGAGGGCAAAGTAAATATAAAGAAATTATAGTTGATAATTTATAATTTCACTAAGATGAGTCATCTGGTATGATTTGCTGGCTATCCAAAATAGTGCTGTTGTACTAATAAAATTAGTCTGAGAATTTCTCAAGCTTTTGAAGCATATCTCATTCATATTGGTGGTACAAAAAAGAGCCCAGCAGATGTTTTCTGAATCCAGTTGTAAAATTTCAAATCAACTTTCAGAATTAGGCTATTCAACTAGGGCTGGCCCCGAAGCAGTGTTGAAGCACTATCCACAGGAATTAGATTCCATATGGGTGACAGAGGTTAGCATCCCAGCCCCAGTAGCTGGAAAAACATGCCAGATGTGTGTGCATGTTCAAAGTCCTGATGAGAAGAACAAATAAGAAGATAAAGGACTGTGGTGTAACCAAGGCCTATTGAGGAAGGGAAGGGTAAGGGCTGTTTTTGTTTGTTTGCTTGCCTCACTCTAGCGAGCACATATGCCTTTTGGCAACTAAAAAATAAACAAGAGGAACCAGCAGATGGCGTAATGGTTATGAAGCTGGACTCCCACACAGTTGGCCGTGGTTCAAGTTCTGGACCCGGTGGCTTAAATCTCATTTGGGGTGCATGTGTGTACATGCCCAAGATCCCGAGATGAAATGAAGGGGAAGAGATTGCGGTGTGGCCATCCTCCCAAGAGATGATTTATCACTTTCTGTCTCTCTGTCTCTGTCTCTCCGGCAAGCGCACAAGCCTTATAGCAAAAATCTCTCGTAGGAAAAAAAAAAAGAACTTGTTAAACCAGAAAGAGTTCTACTAGTAATTGAGACAGGAATCACCTATGTACAAGTTCTGTAAAAGCAAATGAATCATCATTGGAATATTTTCTTTCCGAATCTGCAAAGCAGGTAACTACTACAATCTGATTCAAAACCATGAACTGACATCAACTTAAGGCGTCTAGTTAGTAAGTGCTAGCCCTGTGGTGCAGTGGTAATGCACAGCTCAAGAGAAGTCAAATCTGGGACCAGCAGTTGGCGTAATGGCTATGTTGCTGGACTCCCACGTAGTTGACCATGGTTCGTGTCCCGGACCCGGAGGCTTAAACTCACGCCGGGCGCGTGGGTGTGGGGGCCCAAGATCCCGAGAGGAGAAAGGAGGAGAAGGGATTGTGGCGTGGCCATCCCCCCTGGGGGGTGATTTCTCGCTTTCTGTCCCTCTGTCTCTCTCTGACTTCCTGGAGAGCGCACACGCCATATAGCAAAAGCATCTCCAAAAAAAAAATAAATAAATAAAGAGAAAGAGAGAGAAGCCAAATACAACAGGACAACCACAGTTCAAATCCCTGGCTTAGAATGAAATACGCTGGGCATGTGCTTCAATGCCCAAAATTAGGTAAGTTGGAGGACGGGATGAAGGGAATCAGGGCATGACCAGGCCCGGTAGAGGGATTTTCTCTCTCTCTCTCTCTCTCTCATTCTCTCATTCAAGATATGCCCACTATCATGAATAAAGGGGAGAAAAAAGAATAAAAAACAAAGTAATGAAGAAAAGGGATCATCAGTTTAAAAGTTTGGAGAATCTTTAAATATAGCTAAGTGGGTTATTTACAGCAACATCTTAGGGCTGTTAATTTAACCTAAATGAGAGATATAATACACTTCCCCAAGCAAATCTGGCCTCTAAACTTATGAATATCATATGAGACCAGTGTACACAAATCCTAAAAAAATGCAGCTTTAGATAATTAATTGCTCAAAGTCAAACACTAAGCAATTTTTTAAAATTAAAATGATCAGCTAATTGTATATTCTATTCTGTTAAAAAAAAAAAAAAGGTTTACCAGAAACCCTCACACACTGTTGGTGGGAATATAAATTAGTACATGTATTATGGAAAACAGTACGGAGATTCCTAAAAAAAATTTAAAACAGAACTACCATATGGTCCAGCAATCCCACTACCTGGATATATATCCAAAGGAAATGAAATCAGTGTATTGACAAGATTATCTGCACTCCCTTATTCAATGGAGCATTATTGATAATAACCAAGATATGGACTCTATCTAAATGTCCATGAATGTATGTATGGGTGGATAAGCAACATGTGGGGTGTGTGTATATACACAAACATATATATGGTAAAATACAATTCAGTCTTTTTATTTTATAAGAGTGATTTTTGCTATAGGGCATGAGTACTAGCTGGAGAAACAGAGAGAGACAGAAAATGAGAAAGCAACTCCCAGGGGGATGACCATGCTGCAATCCCTTCTCCTCCATCCTCCTCTCAGGATTTTGGGCATGCATACACACGTGCCTGGTGAGAGTTTCAAGTTGCCAGGTCCAGGAATTGAACCATGGTCAGCCACATTGGAGTCCAATGATATAACCATTATGCCAACTGCTGGTCCCAAAATAAAATTCAGTCTTACTAAAGAGTAGGGACGGTCCAGCAGGTGGCATGGTAGTTAAGACACTGAACCCCCACATGGCCAATCAATTCAAGTCCTAGACCTGGTGGCTTGAAAATCATGCTGAGCATGTGTGTGTGTGTATGTGTACCCAAAATCCCAGGAGGAAAATGGAGAAAGGATTGTGGTATGGTCATCCCCTCTGGAGGGTGATCACCTTCCCTCTATCTCCAGTGAGCACATGCACCCTATGGCAAAACCTATATATACATTTTTTTAAAGAAAAAAAAGTAAAAGAGATAAGGAAATCCTAGCATTTACAAAAATATAGGCACACCTGGAAGACATTATGTTAAGTGAAATAAGGCAAAAATGAAGGTTACCAGAGGCTAGTGGGGAATGGGTAACAGAGTGGGATATGTTGGTTAAATGGTACAAAATCTGGATTAGATAGAAGGAATAGGTTCAAGAGTATATTATACAACATGGTAACTATAGCTAATAACAATGTGTTATATTATTAAAATTACTGAGATGGGGGCGAATTGGTGACATGGTGGAAAGGCTGGCTAGATCCTACAGAGTCGACTGTGCTGTTTAGTTCCAGCCACAGCATCTTGAAAAACACTTGTGAGTGCCTGCCCCAAATCCAGAGAGGAGGATGGTGAAGGAATTTCAGCATGGCCACTCTCGGCTCCCCGACTCGACCTCTTTCTCTGCCTCTCTCCAGTTAGTACACACACCCTTTAGCAAATATATTTTTTTTAAAATTCTGAGATGATAGGTTTTAAGTCTTTTAGCCGCAAAAAATAAAAAGGTATGAGGTAATCTTACTAAAATTATGAAATATTGGGTGATTTCCTAATCTCCATATACAATTTTTTAGTTTAGGATAAATTAGGCAAGTCCAACAGAATTTATTATGAATCTATACTTATTTTACAAAAGTTAACTGTTTCTAAATATTTTCTAAGATTTTTCCTTATGTATATGTATTTTTAAATATTTACCTGTGTGCAACTGCTTTTAAATAACCCTATGTAAATTAGAGGGGATAATTATATAACATAATTGAAATTCTAATAATTAACAAAAGCAGAATGCCCACCTGATTATCTGAGAGCCACATAGCAGTCAATTGCTGTAGTTTAGTAAAGCTAAAGGGCAAATTCTTTAATCTGTAGGAAAAATACAAATAAAAATTAAGCTTTAAAATCAATGAAAGTTAAAACTAATGGATTTCTGAATAATGCTATATAATTGCACAAGTGAAAAGGATAAAAAAGTCAACTATAAGCCTTTATTTAGGACATAAGACAAAATATTATCGAGTTTTGTAAGAATCAGTTTTCTAAATTCTTCAGTTGAAACAATTCAACTGGCAACAAAACAGATAACATTTTAAAAATGCTGTTAAAAAAAAAAAAACAGTTAACTGTCCCTGCCCTAGGGAAAAGATAAGGACACATTAAAACAGTGTCTCATAGAATTGCTTTGGTTTTTGTATTTGTTTTTAGAGAACAAACTGTTATAGGATGCAATGCTACTTATAATCTATTATAAAAACTAAACTGCTCTATATTTCTTTCTGAGACAGCATTTCCATAATCAAGAAGACTATTTTAAGATGATAATGAGTAAAAACAAGTAAAATAAATACTGATTACAATGCTAAATTAAAATAGTGCCCTATTTAAAAGAAGAACACATTAAGCATCACAAATCCAAAAACTGAAATGCTACAAAATCTAAAACTTTTTGAGCCCAGACACGATGTCACAGTGGAAAATTCCACACCTGACTTCATGTGATTGGATTGCTTCCAAAACACTACAATATAAAAAATAAGATTATGATCAGGCTAGGCTATGTGTATAAGGTGACAACCTTTCAGGGCAAGTTTTAGAAGCTAAGTGCTCTACTTTGGAGATAGAAAGTACAGGCTGAAAAAAGGATTTAATAAGAAAGTAGTAGTCCTATAATAAACTGGAATAAAGTATCACATACTACTCAGAAACTAAAATAAAGTATCAGAAAATTGAGTTTAAAATCAAACTCTACCTTACATGCTATATGAATCACCTTACATCCGAGTCTTAAATTTCTCCTACATAAAATATTGTATTATTAGGGTTTCTTGTAAGATTTCACAAGACACTAAGGAAGCAAAATGTAAAAGCACTCCACAAATGCCATTTTATTACATCCATTTGTATTTTTACCTTAGGAAAAAGTATGACTCTTTTGTTTTACCTTAAATACTGTTACAATGTAGAAACCCTAGTGATCAATTTGCTCTGCATGTTGGCTTTGTTGCCCAAGGTTTGTGAGTGAGCACGTAATCACATCTCTGCCCAGAAAAATACGAGCAAAAGATTAAATTCAAAAGTTGCTTTGGGGCCATCCAAGTACCCTAGTGGTTAAGGGAGCTGAATTTCACATGGCCAGTGACAAGTCCTAGCTCAAGTGACTTAAAAAAACATGCCAGGCATATGTGTACTAGTGCTCCAAATCGCAAGATGGAAAAAAAGAAAAGGGACAGCGAAGTGACTATACCCTACTGGGGGTGCCTTCTCCCTCTCCCTCTAGCTATAGGAAATACGTGCACCCTCTGGCAACTAAAACAAAAGTTGCTTTGTTGAACAGCAGTATTAAGGTGAAGACTTGACTTTTGAAGTAAAAAAGGTTACTAAACAACAAGGAAAAAACAGATTGCATAACTAAATCAACCTAAAATGAACAGTAACAACGGTAGGGTAAGTAACATCAGGTAAAATAAGACCATTCTACTTAAGAAAAAAATTACACATATACATATACATGAGGGTTCTTCAAACATTTTTTCAAAATATGCATTTTTTCCATGAACTTTCTGAAGCCCCTTTGTGTATGTGTGTGTGTGTAACACACATATATATGAAAAAAGGATAAGCATTAGGTACACATCATATGAAATTTTCATGTCATTTTATCAATGTCTTCTATAAGCTAATTGATGAATATAGTAATACAAACCTATTGTCACTTAAATTAATAACTTTTAATTTTTGCATATCACCCATTTCCTCTGGGAGTGTCTCAAGTTTATTAGAATGGAGAAACAGCACAGTTATATTTTTCCAGCTTCCTATCTGAAAGGGAAATGAAAACAGAAAATCAAAAATTTCATCTATGGGTTAACCATTATATGAATAATGCCATTTTTGAAAATTATGGAAAATATTCTTCACAATTATATAAAGAATAATGATTACACTTTCCCTTTAATTACTAATTTTCACATACAAGTTAAAGTATTTAGGTAAATCTTCTATATTAATAAAGCTAGTTATTACTTAGAAAATAAATAACTTTAATTAATAAATTACAAAGAGAATAAATGAAACCACATTGGACAGCTATATTAAAGATAATTAGAAAAAGATGAAAAGATAAAAATCCAAAAAAAATTTAAAATATGATACCTCGGGGGGTAACTGCTGTAAGTAATTATGATCTGCAGCAAAGGTTCTTATATTAGTAAGCTGCCCAATAGATGAAGGCAAAGCTTCAACTTCATTGAAACTACAATCCAGTTCTTCTATTGATATTAACCTTTAATTAAAAAAGGAAACACATCATTTATTTTTTTAAGAATTATTTTATTTTAAAATGTTTTATTTATTTATTTATTTATTTAAATTTGACCAGAGAGGGACAGAAAGAGATAAAGAGAAAGAAAGCCACCAGGTTCAGGACTTGAACCATGGTCGGCCATGTGGGAGTCCAGCGCCCCCAAACACCAGGCTACCTGCCAGCCCTCATTTATTATTTTTAAAAAAGGTTTCCTATAGGGACCAGTAGTTAGCGTAATGGCTATGTCGCTGGACTCCCACCTAGTCGACCATGGTTCGCGTCCCGGACCCGGTGGCTTAAAACTCACGCTGGGCACGTGTGCGTGCGTGCCCAGGATCCTGAGAGGAGAATGGAGGAGAAGGGATTGCAGCGTGGCCATCCTCCGTGAGGAGTGATTTCTCTCTTTCTGTCTCTCTGTCTCTCTCTGTCTGGCGAGCGCACGCGCCCTATAGCGAAAACCTCTCCAAAAAAAAAAAGGTTTCCTATATATAATCCCAAATTTAAGAATATATGAATATTTAAATCTGACTATAACAAACCCATTAAAACTATTTCAAAGAGCTTAACTTTATCAATAATAAAAAGGTCTGTCTTTATTATAAACATATCCAACCTGTATACTAAATACATATTTAAATATTTATGGAATCATTAAATGGCTGTTATGCAAATATATGAAACTACCTATGGCATGCAGAAGAAAAAATAAAACCTTCAAGGGTCTATACATTTACAAAAATCTTACCCTCCTATAGAGTCTGGTAGATACATTAATTGGTTCTCATCTATTTTAAGAGTTGTTACATTCTTCAATGAACCTATTGAGAGAAAATATATAATTTTTCAGCTCAAAATAGAAGCAAATTCACTTAACAATGAATGTGACACACATTACATTGGATGAGAACTAGAAAGAACCTTCCTAAGCTGGCCCTGTGTTGTACTAGTTGAGGGAGCAGGATCCCACATGGCCAGCCCTGCAGTTTGAATCTCAGCCTGTGTGTGTGCGTGTCTGTGTGTATCACAAATCCTAAAAAGATGAAGAAATAAAGAAGGAATTGTAGTGTGACCATGCCCAAATAGAGGTGCTTTCTCTCTCTCCTGCTTCTTTCTGGCAGACACATGCAGTCTCTGGGAAAAGAGAAAAAAGGAACTTTCCTAACCAATCTATCTCAAAGAGACACCACTCCCAATTCTATCACTCCATCCCTTATCCTAAATTTTCAATTTTCACATACCCCAACTAAATGTAAGCTTCATGAGAAGAAAATGTTTTGCACTATCCATTGCTGTAGCCCTGTTTCTAAAATCGATGCCATGTCACACGGAAGATAACAAAATACAAACATATTGAATTAATAAAACAGTAGTGTGAAGATAATTTATATCAGTGTAAAACATACTTTTCTATATATCTGAAATAGTAAAATAATGTATTTTAATGTAAATAATTAAAAGTGTTGTTTAGAATAGAGTAGAATCCTGAAAATCTGTAGGAAAAAAAACTAAGCAATGCAACTGAAAAGAGTATGAAACATTATTTTTGGTTTTAATATTAAAACATCATGAGGGGCCCAGCAGATGGCATAATGGCTGTCACTGGACTCCCACGTAGTCGACTCCAGTTCGAGTCCCAGACCTAGTGGCTTAAACTCACACCAGGCATGTGTGCGTACATGCCCAAGATCCCGAGAGAAGAATGGAAGAGAAGGGATTGTGGCATGACCATCCCCGCTGGGGAGTGATTTCTTGCTTTCTGTGTCTCTGTCTTTCTGATGAGCATCCGCACCCTATAGCAAAAACCTCTCCAAAAAGAGAAAACATCATGGGACCAGCAGTTAGCGTAATGGCTATGTCGCTGGACTCCCATGTATTCGACTGCGGTTCAAGTCCCGGACCCGGTGGCTTAAACTCACGCCGGGCGCGTGTGCGTGTGTGCCCAAGATCCCAAGAAGAGAATGGAGGAGAAGGGATTGAGATGTGGCCATCCCCTCTGGGGGGTGATTTTTCGCTTTCTATCTCTCTGTCTCTCTCTGTCTGTCTGGCGAGCACACATGTCCTATAGCAAAAACCTCTCCAAAAAAAGAAAAAAAAAAAAGTGAAAACATCATGAGGACATCAAGATTTGAGCTTTCCGTTCTTTAATCAAGATAATTCAATTTTTTTGATACATCAACAAATAAGAAACTACGCATACAGAGACTCAGTAACAATTACAGATCTCTCATAGGATTTGCTCAAGTGATGTGGTTTTTTTTTTTTTTTTTGAGAGGTTTTTGATATAGGGCGCATGCGCTCGCCAGAGAGACAGAGAGACAGAAAGCGAGAAATCACCCCCCAGGGGGGAATGGCCACACAGCAATCCCTTCTCCTCCATTCTCCTCTCTGAATCTTGGGCATGTACGCACACGTGCCCGGCATGAGTTTAAGCCTCCGGGTCCGGGACTTGAACCGCGGTCGACTACGTGGGATTCCAGTGACATAGCTATTTCGCTAATTGCTGGTACCCTGTTTTTTTAGCTATAAGTCTTTAATGAATTTGGACAAAAATGTTATCAAATGAGGGCAATGATCAAGAGTTAAACCAAATTTGGATAATTAACTTTTTAAAGGAATTTTATTACAAGTCTAAAAATGAGCTTTTAGTCCCCAGCTGCAGTAGAGTCGCTGGACTGCTACTAATCCACAGAATGAATCCACAAGGGAGTGTTGAGTGCAATTCCTAGCCCACTGTAAAAAGTCAGGCACTATATATAGCACATGCTTATGGCTCTAGCAATTCAAGAGGCTGAGGCAGGAGAATCTCACAATAAAGTTAAGACCCTGTCTAAAATACCACAAACATACAAATGAGGTTTCCTTAGGAATAATTCAATTAAGATGTTACTGTGGTAGTACAGTAAAACTACTGCATAACGACAACAACATAAGATTATATGGAAGCCTTGAATTTACTAAGAATAACATGAATTTAAAAGTGGTACAAACCAATAGTCTCAGGCAGTTGTTGAAGTGAATTGCTTGATAACAGGAGGTCCTGAAGGTTTTCACATGCTGAAATTCCTTCTTCAACCATTTCAATATTATTTTTAGAAACATCCAAATATGTGAGTTGTTTCAAACTACCAATAAACTATAAATTAAAAGAGGTAAAGAAAATCTAATGACTCTATTAATACTTAATTTGTAAAAAGTTTAATTAATAAGCCTAATACCAAGTTTTAATTCAAAATTAAATATTAATACAAGAACGAGGACTCACGAATTGTTTTTAAAATACCATTATAAATGTTTTCAATAAGAATAAGAACTCCTATTAACTTTAGCTCAGCAGAGTGATAAAGAACAAATATTTTTTAGGGGAACTCAGCTGTCTAACCTCCAAGAGACAGAGTTCATGGAAATATTATAGTTTAATAATTGTCTGGGTGGGACCAGCAGATGGCATAATGGTTACGTCACTGGACTCTCCCGCATAGTCAACCACGGTTCAAGTCCCGGACATGGTGACTTAAAACTCATGCCCAAGATCCTGAGAAAAGTATGGAGGAGAAGGAACTGCGGTGTGGCCATTCCCCTGGGGGGCGATTTCCTGCTTTCTGTCTCTGGCAAGCACATGTGCCCTATAGCAAAAATCTCTTTAAAGAAAAAAGAATTCTCTGGGCAAACTGAATTATGATATAAATTCAGTTGTTACCACTGGAAAGGATAAGCTCTCTATTAAGAAGAGACTATTCTCGTACAGTTGTGGTGGTCGAAGCAGTAGAGCACTACTGCACAGGGCTGGGGCCTGTTTTGTATACAAATAGCCAGCATGATTTCTTTCACTGGATGGATATCTTGGACAATCCATTCAAGGAAGATCATTTAGTCCAACTTGATGAAGCCTATGTTCTTCATGTACTGACAGAAACACTGACAGCACACACTGAGGCTGTATTTCCGGATCAGGCCATGCTGGTATGAGCACAAGTGGCAAGAGCGAGAGCCCTGGCCAAATTTTCGCGGGTGGCTCCAGCAGAGCTGCCAATGACCCATCCTGCTTTCAGTGGGGCAATGAAGCAAAAGGCTGGGTGGCTTGGATTTGAGTCCTGAACCAATCTGAACAGGACAAGCACACTGGCACATGTCTGTAGTCCTAGTTAGCAGTGAAGCAGAGCCAAAGGACTGCAACAGCAAGCAAGACCTTGTCACAAGAAACAAAACCAAACCAAATCAAACCAAACCAAACCAAAACAAAACAAAAACAATACAAAACAAAAATCAAAAACTTACTTCTTACGCTCTCATAAAAAGAAAAAAATTTTTCTACCAAAGTTTTATTATGAGTATTTTCAGATTTTAAACAAGAATGTGCTCATTGTTAAAAAAAAAAAAAATAGAGGGGCAGGGGTGTTTCCTTCTGTTTAAGGAATGAAATAATCCTTCCCTCCCAGACACACACACTAACTACAAGTAATTCAAGGTCTGGCTCCAATGCCTAGTGGTTAAGGTTATCAGATCCCACATGGTCAAAAACACAGTTTGAGTCAAAATTCAGCAGTTTGAGAAACACACTGAGCATGCATGCCTGTGTGCCCAAAATTGCAAAAGAAGGGAGAGATGGAGAAGGTATTACTGCATGACCATTTCCTTTGAGGATGCTTTCTCCTCTCCCTCCCTGTCTCTCTAGTGTGCTCGCTAGCAAAACAAAACAAAACAAGGTTTAAAATAATTTTTAAAAGCACAATTCACAAAACTGCAAAAGAGAGACAACAAGAAATTAAGTCATTTAAAATTTCACATACATACCCCTGGAATAAAAGTCAGTCTATTACCATCCATCCAAAATTCTTTCAATCCACTTAGTTGCTCAAGCACTTCAGGCTGTTTAGATAGGAAGGTGAGAAATCCAATTAATTTACATTAATGTCTTTATCTAGTAAAAGAAGCCATGGGGGGACCAGCAGTTAGCGTAATGGCTATGTTGCTGGACTCCCATGTAGTCGACCAAGGTTTAAGTCCTGGACCCAGTGGCTTAAATAACTCACGCCGCGCATGTGCATGCATGCCCAAGATCCCAAGAGGAGACTAGAGGAGAAGGGACTGCAGTGTAGCCATCCCCTCAGGGGGTGATTTCTTGCTTTCTGTCTCTCTGTCTCTGTCTTTCTGGCCCTAAAGCAAAAACCTCTCCAAAAAAAAAAAAAAAAAGCAGCCATGGGAATTTCTAATGATAACCTCTAGCTTCAATAGGTTAAAGAGAAGAGAAAAAAGAAGGAAAGAAAAAGCAGAGCCAGGACGTGAGCCTTTCCACTACATTACAGTTACTACTGGGTGGTCAGAAAAGTCATGACATATTTTTTATGTTTTCTATGCAAAAATGCATCATGACTTTTCCAACGATACAACACAATAATGTTACAATACAATGATACAATACAATAATGTTATTAAAGGGAAAACTGCAGATACACATTTTATAAAAGCAGCTTATATAAAACTCATTTACACTTTGGATTACCCAAGAGGGTCAAATGTTTACACAATTAATAACAAAATAAAAATAGGATACACTGCTTGGACGCATACAACAACAAAAAAACACTCTCAACTAAAAGATACAGCCTTCCAAATCTTTGGAAATATCAAAAATATATTTCCTACTATCATTAATAGAGTGGGAAAAAATGGCAATATACATCCCAATAATAAGGAAAAGGTAAACAAAGGCATAACTTCATGACAAGAACATTTTATTATTAGTGCCAGCAGGTAGCATGGTGGTTAAGGCGCTGGACTCCTACATGGCCTACCACTGTTCAAGGCAGCTTGCGTTCTCTCTCTATCTTTGTCTCTCTCTCTCTCTCTCAGGTGAGCACATGTGCCCTAAAGTAAATTAAAATAATACGTAGAAGAAAAAGAAAAGAAAATTCTATCATTTAGACCCGCCATTATCATGGTGGTTGGGGTGGCTGGATCCCACATGGTTGACTGCATAATTCAAGTCCCACACAGCAGCTTGCTAAAACACATGAGCACATTTGTATGCATGGCCAAAATTTTAAAAGGGGAGTGCTCTCTCTCTCTCTCTCTCACAACACACGCCCTCTGGCAAAGTTTTAAAAACGTGTAAGATTGAGACCAGATGGTGGTGCAGTGGTAAAACACAATGCTCTGTGAGGCTGACCCAGATGAGAATGTTCTGGGTTTGTGTCTGGAGACCTCCTTGAGCAAGGTGGACACACATGTGCCCATGATTTGGGGTTGGTTGGGGCTGGGTGGACTGCATTGTCAAGATCCCATCCAGGATGTTTATTGGTATTTCTGTCTCTCTAGCTTATGGAAGAAATAAACTTACTTTACTGGGTTGTCTGAAAAGTGATGACATATTTTTACATTAAAAAACAGGAAATTATGTCATGACTTTTCCTGACAACCTAATAAAAAAAATGTAACACTGAAGGACTAAAATGGTGATAAAAATTAATGATGATCCTGAAAGGTAGCTGGATTCATAAAATGAACCATTATTGAGAATTTTCTAATAGTTAATATGCAAACATATTAATAACATATTAACATATTAATACATACGGAGCAAATGTTGACAAAGGGTACAACAGGTAAGACAACTTAGGAAGTAGAGCATGTATATTTTTCATAAGGAGTAAAAACTCTCTGAACAACAAATATATCAGAAACCATTTTCAACTAGAACATAATAAAGAATATAAAAATAGTATTTTAGAGAAAATATGAAATACCCCAAACGACCATGGTCTCCACCAATGTCCCCTGCAATGTACACTACAAGATGCACAATACCCACAGGGTAACACTATAACAGACACTCAGGTGAAATTCTTGTCCTTAAGACTGTCACCTGAAAGCTACCACAATAAACTCATAAACATAATTTTAAAATTTGAATGATAATGTTCAGCTTGATAATCTCCTCTTCGAAAGAACATATAGCTTATTTTCTGAGTTGGAAAATGAACGGAAGACCAAAAACTGCTTGCACATCCCTTTCTTTTTAGACCCAGTATCATAGTGTACTTAGCATACAAAGCACAAACACAATTGAGAGATCTGATTACCAAATCAAAAGTTTGAAAAGACTTCTCATAAGTTTTTTTCACTCAGTAAGTTTCCCTTTAGCTATTAAGTAAAATTGTAGAGAACTATCTTTTCACTGTACAAGATCGTAATTAAAACACCAGAGTGTTATTCTGAACCCAGAACTACTTTACCTGTTGCATTCTAGACTGATGTTTTTCACTTACATCTCTCAGTTTCTGCTTCCTATTCTAAAATTGTTTAGGATCTTTTTCACAGATCTTTTATCAATCTTACATTTTATCCTGTTTTATGTCAGATTTTTCTGTCTGTCTGCCTAAGCCTTTTACCTGTCTGGCTAATCCTTCTACTTGACTAGAAAGTTCTAACTAAGAACTTTTTGTTGGCCCTATAGCACAACAGAGAGGAAATTTGATCCCATGTGGTTGACTCGGGTTTTAGTTCCGGACAAAGCAGCTTACAGGAGTCACTCTGCCAACGATTTTATTGATACTCCAAAAGAGAGAACACATTTTGGATATAAAACTCATGGTTAACCTCTAGCTTCAATAGGTTAAAGAGAAGAGAAAAAAGAAGGAAAGAAAAAGCAGAGCCAGGACGTGAGCCTTTCCACTACATTACAGTTACTACTGGGTGGTCAGAAAAGTCATGACATATTTTTTATGTTTTCTATGCAAAAATGCATCATGACTTTTCCAACGATACAACACAATAATGTTACAATACAATGATACAATACAATAATGTTATTAAAGGGAAAACTGCAGATACACATTTTATAAAAGCAGCTTATATAAAACTCATTTACACTTTGGATTACCCAAGAGGGTCAAATGTTTACACAATTAATAACAAAATAAAAATAGGATACACTGCTTGGACGCATACAACAACAAAAAAACACTCTCAACTAAAAGATACAGCCTTCCAAATCTTTGGAAATATCAAAAATATATTTCCTACTATCATTAATAGAGTGGGAAAAAATGGCAATATACATCCCAATAATAAGGAAAAGGTAAACAAAGGCATAACTTCATGACAAGAACATTTTATTATTAGTGCCAGCAGGTAGCATGGTGGTTAAGGCGCTGGACTCCTACATGGCCTACCACTGTTCAAGGCAGCTTGCGTTCTCTCTCTATCTTTGTCTCTCTCTCTCTCTCTCAGGTGAGCACATGTGCCCTAAAGTAAATTAAAATAATACGTAGAAGAAAAAGAAAAGAAAATTCTATCATTTAGACCCGCCATTATCATGGTGGTTGGGGTGGCTGGATCCCACATGGTTGACTGCATAATTCAAGTCCCACACAGCAGCTTGCTAAAACACATGAGCACATTTGTATGCATGGCCAAAATTTTAAAAGGGGAGTGCTCTCTCTCTCTCTCTCTCACAACACACGCCCTCTGGCAAAGTTTTAAAAACGTGTAAGATTGAGACCAGATGGTGGTGCAGTGGTAAAACACAATGCTCTGTGAGGCTGACCCAGATGAGAATGTTCTGGGTTTGTGTCTGGAGACCTCCTTGAGCAAGGTGGACACACATGTGCCCATGATTTGGGGTTGGTTGGGGCTGGGTGGACTGCATTGTCAAGATCCCATCCAGGATGTTTATTGGTATTTCTGTCTCTCTAGCTTATGGAAGAAATAAACTTACTTTACTGGGTTGTCTGAAAAGTGATGACATATTTTTACATTAAAAAACAGGAAATTATGTCATGACTTTTCCTGACAACCTAATAAAAAAAATGTAACACTGAAGGACTAAAATGGTGATAAAAATTAATGATGATCCTGAAAGGTAGCTGGATTCATAAAATGAACCATTATTGAGAATTTTCTAATAGTTAATATGCAAACATATTAATAACATATTAACATATTAATACATACGGAGCAAATGTTGACAAAGGGTACAACAGGTAAGACAACTTAGGAAGTAGAGCATGTATATTTTTCATAAGGAGTAAAAACTCTCTGAACAACAAATATATCAGAAACCATTTTCAACTAGAACATAATAAAGAATATAAAAATAGTATTTTAGAGAAAATATGAAATACCCCAAACGACCATGGTCTCCACCAATGTCCCCTGCAATGTACACTACAAGATGCACAATACCCACAGGGTAACACTATAACAGACACTCAGGTGAAATTCTTGTCCTTAAGACTGTCACCTGAAAGCTACCACAATAAACTCATAAACATAATTTTAAAATTTGAATGATAATGTTCAGCTTGATAATCTCCTCTTCGAAAGAACATATAGCTTATTTTCTGAGTTGGAAAATGAACGGAAGACCAAAAACTGCTTGCACATCCCTTTCTTTTTAGACCCAGTATCATAGTGTACTTAGCATACAAAGCACAAACACAATTGAGAGATCTGATTACCAAATCAAAAGTTTGAAAAGACTTCTCATAAGTTTTTTTCACTCAGTAAGTTTCCCTTTAGCTATTAAGTAAAATTGTAGAGAACTATCTTTTCACTGTACAAGATCGTAATTAAAACACCAGAGTGTTATTCTGAACCCAGAACTACTTTACCTGTTGCATTCTAGACTGATGTTTTTCACTTACATCTCTCAGTTTCTGCTTCCTATTCTAAAATTGTTTAGGATCTTTTTCACAGATCTTTTATCAATCTTACATTTTATCCTGTTTTATGTCAGATTTTTCTGTCTGTCTGCCTAAGCCTTTTACCTGTCTGGCTAATCCTTCTACTTGACTAGAAAGTTCTAACTAAGAACTTTTTGTTGGCCCTATAGCACAACAGAGAGGAAATTTGATCCCATGTGGTTGACTCGGGTTTTAGTTCCGGACAAAGCAGCTTACACACCAAGGGCACAGGATCCAAGTGGTGACAAGATGAAGAACTGAACTGCAGTGTAACCTGGCCCCATTCTCTCTGTCTCTCCTTCTAGTATCTTCAAGCATAATAAAAATAGAACAAAACAAAAATAACTTTTATACCTCAAAATGTCTACCTTTATTCAATATTTAAAATAATTTAATTTTCACAATTTGTTCTTGATCAAATATAAAACTTAAAGTGAGATTTGTAAGAACTTACCACTTCTGTGAATTCATTACTTCCCAAATCCAATCTTTCCAGTTGGGTCAGTCTATTCATGGTTCTATTCACAATGATTTAATAAAGAATCAATCATATAAAAATATCAATTACATGGAAGCTTTCACTTTTCATAGTTTACAATACTCATACAGTACATAATAAGGTAAATATAAGCTTTCTTCACATGCTGACAAGGTAAAAATGTTCATTTTCTAAGAAAAATTATATTTAATTTCTAGATAAAAGATTGTTATCAATTATTCTCTAATTCTGGCTTCTCACAAGTCTTCTCATTTCTATTATTAAGCAGTGATTGCAATAAATTTAAACCTACAGGCCAGAATATAAATAATAGGTTTCTACTTTTTCACAGAATAAATTTTTATATATTATAAATCAGCTAATAAATTAGACTGTCTGGTAGATACATAGTAATTACTACCTCAATTACAAAAACTACTTATCAAAACTTGTAAAACTTCAAGATGCTTATAACCCTGAAAATTAGTTTTCACAATAATTTCTTTCTTATGAGAAAAATCTATCATTTGGGGCCGGCAGGTGGTGTAATGGCTGAAGTGCGGACTCCCACATGGCCAACTATGGTTTAAATCCCAGACCTGAAGGCTTGCTTTCTCACATCCCCTCCCCCTTCTCTCTCGCACACGCATGCACAAGTTCTCTCATTCTGTCTCTCTTTGGTCAAATTAAAAATAAATAAATAAAGAATTCTTTTAAAAAGAAGAAAAACCTATTATGTAATGCATCAAGATGCTGCCAACTAATCAGATAAAATCTCTACATTAATGATTGCACAGGATATGGCAAAATACACTTATTACCATCATCTCACTAGTATATTACATTACCATGCTAATACTTCAAAAATGATCATTTAAAACCCAACTGCACCCTAAATTATGGTGCAAGAACACAAACTACTTCTTTTTTTCCTGCAAAGTTTAACAAATAAAAATGAGTAATTATTGGGTCATCAGAGAAGTCATGACACATTTTTCTATGTATTTCTATGCAAAAATGCATGACTTTTCCAATGACCCAACTGCAAAATAAAATTAAGTTAATGCATTTCTTCAGATTTTTCAGAGAAAGAATAAAGGAACACATAATTATAATGATAATATACTGTTGGCCTAAATTAGAAGCAGCTAATTTTCCCCAATACCCATTTTAAATATGCTAGTCTTTCTTTCAGAAGAATTATTTATTTAATTTTCTTTAATATTACTAATCTTTTTTAAATTTGACCAGAGACAGAGAGAGAGAAAAGGAAAGTGAGAAAGCATGCCGGCAGGTCCAGGACTCAAACTGGCCAGCTATGTGGGAGTCCAGGGCCTTAACCATCATGCCACCGGCTGGCCCCTAAATATGCTATTCTACCACCACTCCTTTTATAATCTCAGAATATTATTTTTTCTCAGAGTGGTTTTAACACAGATTTCATGATGCCTATTCTCAGCTACAGTACCCTTACTTCCCTTACTCTTGTCTTCATCCAGAAAAACCAATAAATAAATCAAAGGACTCAACCTAAGTGCCCAAGAACTGAAGATTGCATTGAAAAAAAATGTGGCACATGTACACTATGGAATACTAGTATGTTATCAGTAAAGTCATGATGTACTTTTCTGTTTTGTTTTTCCTATGCAGAATTGTGCCATGACTTTCTCAATGACCCAATTCTTAGCCACAAAGAATGAGACCCTAGGGGCCAGCAGATGGTATGGTGGATAAAGGCTCTGGACTCCCACATGGCCAACCACTGTTCAAGTCCCAGAACTGGAGGCTTGCTTTCTTGCTTTCCCTCTCTCTCTCTCTGTTTCTGTCTGATCAAATTTAAAAAATAATAATGACAAATGGAATTAAATAAATAATTCTTTAAAAAAAAAAAAAAAAGGAAAAGAAAAGAATGAGACCCTGAGGGCTAGCAGATGGCATAATGGTTATGTTGCTGGACTCCCAAATGGCCGACCACAGTTCAAGTTCTCGACTTAGCAGCTTAAACCTCATGCTGGGCATGTGTGTGTGCATGCCCAAAATTGCGAGAAAATGAAGAAGGGACTGTAGTGTGGCCATCCTCCATAAGGGGTGATTTCTTGCTTTCTGTGTTTCTTTGGTAAGCACACATACCCTATAGCAAAAAATCTCTTTAAAAACAAAAAGAATAAGACCTTGATTTTTTTCCATAAGATCTCATTTTTAAATTTATTATTATTTATTTTTAATACACTGTGGGGCACATATGCTTACCAAAGAGAAAGTGAGAAAGCAAGTCACCAGGTCTGGGACTTTGAACCATGCTCAGCCACATGGGAGTCCAGTGCCTCAAACACCACACCACCTGCTGTCCCTGAGACCCTGATATTTGAAACAGAGTGGATGACTATAGAAGCTTTAGTGCTAAATGAAGAGTCAGACTATGAAAGACAAACACTGTATTGTCCCAATTCAATATATACCAAATGCCTACACTCTAGAACAGAAATTAAAATATTTGAAGATGTAATAGTAGAGAGGGCAAGTGTAGATACCAGAGACTGTATGGGAGGGAGTCAATAGCAGAGGGTGAGAGAGTCAACAATAGAGGTGGGTGGGAGGGGCTCAGAGAAGAAAAAATTAACGGACTCGAGAATGTAAAGTATTCTCAGGGACCAACAGTTAGCGTAATAGCTATGTCGCTGGACTCCCACGTAGTCGACCACAGTTCAAGTCCTGGACCCGGTGGCTTAAAACTCACGCTGGACACTTGTGCATGCATGCCCAAGATCCAGAGAGGAGAATGGAGGAGAAGGGATTGTGGCGTGGCCAACCCCCCTGAGGGGTGATTTCTTGCTTTCTCTCTCTCTCTCTGTCTGGCGAGCGCACGTGCCCTATAGCAAAAACCTCTCAAAAAAAAAAAAAAAGAAAAAGAAAAAAATAGAATGTAAAGTATTCTGTTGAAAATGGGACCAGCAAATGGTGCAGTGGTTACTTCACTGGACTCCCACATGGCCAACGGCGGTTCAAGTCCTGGACACGGCGGCTTGAAACTCAAGCCGGGCGCCATGTGTATGCATGCCCCAAATTCCGAGAAGAGACTGGAGAAGGGATTGCAGTGTGGCCATCTCCTGGGGGGGGGCATGATTTCTCATTTTCTGTCTGTCTCTCCAATGAGTGCATGCAATGCCCTATAGGAAAAAAAATCTCTCTTTAAAAAATAAATAAATAAAGGCGGGGCCGGCAGGTGGCGTGGTGGTGGTTAAGGGCACTGGATTCACACATGACCAACTATGGTCCGAGTTCCAGAGCTGGTAGCTTGCTTTCTCACTTTCCTTCTCTCTCTCTGTCCCTCTCTGGTCAACTGTGTGGGTGTGTTTGTGTCTGTGTGTGGGTGTGTGTGTGAACGCGCGCGCGCGCGCGCGCACGCGCCCAAGATCCCGAGAGAATGGAGGAGGGGGGATTGCAGCATGGCCATCATCCCTGGGGGGTGATTTTTCGCCTTCTGTCTCTCAGTCTCTCTGTCTCTCTCTGTCTTTCTGGCGAGTGCACGCGCCCTACAGTAAAAACCTCTCTAAGAAAAAGAAAAAGAAAGAAAATGATGCATACAGTAATGTCCTTGATTATCACACATTGCACACACGCTTTGAAAAACCATACTGTGTAAACATCATTAAGAAGTTCTAGTTTTCTTTATATATGAGTAATATACATGTTTCCAAACATATAAAATCATATATTCACCACTACATCAGGTGGAGATTTGAGAAAAGTGGAGAGGACTTTAAGGAAGAGGGATGACTGAAAGTATAAAACATAATCTTGCTTCAATGCTGTTATGACAAGGTAACAAAAATTCACATGCAGCAACTGAATACACAGTATCAATGGGATAATTTTAAAAAATAAAGCATATGTTTTAGAAGAGGGTTCTAAAAGAACAGCAGCACATCAGAAAAGTTCAATTCTAGACAATGTCCTAGAAAAGTTAAGTTTTAAAAAGATTTAGAAAAATGTGAATGATAAAAGTATATAATAAAAAAGAAGAAATATAGTATTAAGAAAGTGTCTCCACCTCCAGCTAACACTGGCACCTTAGATTCTGCTCATACATTTCAAAAGCTTCAGAAATATAACTGCATCAGAATAAGATCCAGCTTCCAACTTCAAAAAGAAGACAGAAAGAGTATCCCTCAAATTTCCTGTAGTCTACATGCAAAATTTATTTGTATTTAACTCTTTTTACCTTTTCCTCTTCCTATATCACAGGAAGAATTTAATTTGTATTCTTGGTCTTGGTCCTGTGTACTCCAGTATTTAAGTGGTATTAAATTTTATTTATTTATATAAATATACATACATACTCTATGTGTGTGTGTGTGTGTGTGTGTGTGTGTGTATATATATACATATATATAAAACAATATGTATGTGTATATACATGTAAAACAATATATGTGTATGTATATATATACACATATATAAATAAAACAATATATATATTTATATTGTTCTTCCCATTGATCTACTCTTTGGTCATAAAAAAAAAAAATTCTACTAACAGATCAGTCAGGTGGCATGGTGACTGTGGTGGCTGGACTCCCACAAGGCCGATCATGGTTTGAGTCCCAGGCCTGGCAGCTTAAAAATCATGCCAGGCACGTGTGTGTGTGTGTGTGTGTGTGTGTGTGTGTGTGTGTGTGCGCGCGCACGCACACACACCCAAAATTCCAAGAAGAGAATGGAGAAAAAGAGACTGCAGCATGTCCATGACCCCTGTGGGCTGATTTCTCACTTTCCCCCTCTCTCCCTGGTGAGCGCACATGCCCTATAACAAGCTTAAAAAAAAAAAAAAAAAGTCTAGTCACATAACCTGAATACATATGACTTTTCTAATATTTAAAAATTATGGACTCGTTATAGTTTGTGAAGTCTCAAAGACTTTAAATTATATTCATAACCATCACTATAACACTTCATTCACTGGTGTAATGAACAGTCAGTTTATTGTATCTTGAGAATTTACAATCATTAGGGCACAGGAGGAGACAATGACACATGTGTACATGTGTGCATGTTGGTCAAGGATAAACAGAGTAATCTATACATACTTGGGTACTTTTTTTTGGTTTTAGTTCTTTTCGCTATAGGGCGTGTGTGCTTGCCAATGAGAGAAAAGAGGGAGAGAGAATGTGGGAAGTCACTCCCCAGGAGGGATGGCCATGCCACAGTCTATTCTCCTCCACTCTCTTCTAGGAATTTTGGCATGAACATATACGCACTAGGCGTGATTCTCAGGCTGTCAGGTCTGGGACTTGAACTGCAAAGCTGGGCTTGTGGGATCCAGTGCCTTAACCTCCATGCCATCGAATAGCCCCTGTACAGATATACTTTGAAAAGTATGTGGCAAATATAATGGAAATGAATATGATGCCATAGAAAGTTTAACACACCTCTAGGGTAAGTGTAGATGTTTCCCTCAAGAGGTGACAACTAAGTCTTGATGATTCAATAAGATCTGGAAAATTTATTTTTCTTGAAGGGTCAGAGTAAAAATTTTAGGTGCTGGGGGCCATACAGTCTCTAGTAAACTATTCAACTCTACCACTATAGAGCAAAAGACAGTATATGTACGAATGAATGTAGATGTGTTCCAGTGAACTTTCACTCACAAAAACAGTGGGCCAGATTTAATCATGGACTGTAGTTGCCCAGCTATAACAATACAACAATGCACTCAAGATGTTTTAAGACAGCTATTCAATTAATACCAATGGACTACAGTGCATTTTGAGTTTGCAAATCTTTCTTTATGGTTTTATCTTATTTGCTGCTGGGTGGCCATCTCTTTATGTTGTCTGCATTAGGGGCCACTATTTCTAATTTACAAAGGACTAGAAAGCCAAATAATTAAGTTTTAAGTTACTGGGCTTCACATAAAGACCCAATGGAACTCATTAATGTGTTTGAGTAATATGTGAATTCAGCAGTGTGTTTGAGTAATATGTGAACTGGGATCTCTAATTGGGACTCAGATAGACTTTTATATACTTATCATTTTGACTTTTTTGTCACAAAAAAAGACTGTATTTTAGGGAGGGATGCAATCATATCACATTAAACACCAACAACAGGCACAACATTTTCATATTTAACACCATTAATTAAAATACAATGACCATAAATGTTGGTCTTTAGAAACAACCTACACTCACATTTTAGATAATAAAAATTTAACATTAAAATATTAAAATTTCACACTTAATCTTTAAAAGGATAGCACCTTTACTTACTTAGGCAACATTTTCAATTGGTTTTCTCTAAGTTCTAATATCTGGAGTTTAGTTAATCTGCAAAACAAAGAACAATCAAGTATGACAAAAATAAGGAATTTAATTAACAAATTAATCTCGCATACTAAAATTTTAAAGCAACCAATATGAACTGTGTAATTCTTATGCAAAGAGTAGTACATTTAAAATTACAAGCCAGGTGTGGTGGTGCACACCTGTTGTTCCAGCTGGGAGGCTGAGTCACAAGAACAAGGCCATGTCTTTCAGGGGAAAAAGAAAGGAAAAAAAGAAAAGATTATTTATATTCTTAAAATTCCAGTGGGGGAGGAGGAGTAAGCACTTCTACACATTTTCAAAGTGACAAAGCGTCCTTAAATACCAATTCTGGAGCATTGCATGCCTTTTACTGAAAATAACCATAAAAATGTTTAATTGTTGGGCCAGGAGGTGTTATAGTGGTTAAGGTGCTAGATTCCATATAGCTGGCTCTGTAGTCCAAATCCTAGACCCATAAACTTGGAAAATAAGCCAGGCACAAGCCCAAAATCCCAAGAGGAGATAGAGAAGGGATTGTGGCATGGCCATCCTCCCTTAGAGGCTGCTTTCTCATCTTCCCTCTCTTGTTTCTCTACAGCAAGTACATGCATTCTCTAGCAAAAACTTAAAAATATATACATAAATAAAAAATGTTAATTGTTCATAAATTTAGGAACAATATACCTTCAAAGTACAGCTCCAAGAAGAAATTAATGAGGGAGTATAAGAGGACATAAGAAAGAGAAATCCAGTGATGAACATTTCACTTTAGAAAGATTTTTTTGCTATAGGGCATGTGCACACACCAGAGAGACAGAAAGCAAGAAATCACCCCCCAAGGGAGATGGCCATGCCATAATCCCTTCTCTTCTAATCTCTTCTCAGAATTTTGGGCATGCATGCACACATGCCCAGCATGAGTTTTAAGCCACCAGGTCTGGGACTCGAACCGCAATTAACTACGTGAGAGTTCAGCAACATAACCATTATGCCATCTCCTGATCCCAATAACTCAGTAACTATTAATAATTCATTTGTTTTAAAATATTACTTAAGGACATCAGCAGATGGCATAATAGTTATGTTGCTGGACACCCACTGGACCTCAGTTCGTGTTCTGGACCTGGTAGCTTAAAATTCATACCAGGTGGGTATGTGTGCATGCTTAAGATCCCAAGAGGAGAATGGAAAAGGGATTGCAGCATGGCCATCACCCAGGGGTTGATTTCTTACTTTCTGTCTCTCTATACCTCTCTGTCTCTCCAGTGAGCACATGTTCCCTATAGCAAAAAACGTCTCTCAAAAAAAAAAAAAAATTACTTAAAAACTTATGTGTGGAGGGGTGAGAATTATGAGGCAGATCCAAGACGGATTCTCTTTTCTCAACAATTTTGATTCCAGTGGGGAAGACAGATAAAGTATTAAATTATTTTAGAATGATAAATGCTAATAATCTAGCATTAAGTATTTCAAGTATATAGAAATTATCCCCATTAAAAAAATCGTTTTGGGGCTGGCAGGTGGCATGATGGTTAAGGTGCTGGACTCCCACATGGCTGACTGTGATTCCAGTCCTGGACCTGGTAGCTTGCTTTTTCACTCTCTTTCTCTCTCTGGTCAAATTGATGAATAATAAAAAAATAAATAAAATTAAATTAATTAATTCTTTTTTTTTTTTTGGAGAGGTTTTTTAAATAAATTAATTCTTTAAAAATTGTTTTGCCCCCAAAAAAACAATTTAAGTTTTATTTTTATTCTTTTAAACTCACATTACTTTTTGTTTACTTGGGAGAATAAATTCAAAGTTAAATAATGAGCTAAAGTAAAAAACACTGTAGCCTGGTGTTTAAGATGACTAGATCCTACATGCCAACCACATGCTTGAGTCATGGAGCAAATGACTTAAAAAATATTCCAGGCACATGTCCAAAATCCCAACAGAAGGAGAGATAGAAAAAAGGGATACCAGTGTGACCATGACCCATTGGGAGTGTCTCCCCACCCCCCTCCCCCCCACCAAGCACAAGCACCCTCTTATAAATGAAAATAGAAGTCAAAATAACAAGATCTAAAGAAACTATAAAAATCACAATGCTTAGAAATAATTACAAAAGAAGAGTCTATGAAACTGTAATTAATAGTATTACCAAAGCAGGTTGTCTATGAGTCTATGAAACTGTAATTAATAGTATTACCAAAGCAGGTTGTAGTTTCATAAACTTTACAAGAGCTAACAATAAAAGGTTTTAGAAGAAACTTTCATTTACCTGCCAAAATTAGCTGGCAAGAACTCAAGGAAAGCATCGTTCAGATATAACTGGGTTAGGTTTAACAGCTGAGAAAATCCATCAGGGAGCCTATATAAAATATACCAAAATTTTAGGCACATCCATATATATAATTTCAGTCTCTTAAAATCTAATAATCAGTATAATCAAGACAATTTTCAGCAGATAATAGTCCTCTCTTTGTTTTCGTGAGTAATCCTCAAATTAAGATTTGCCTTTTGTAATAACTTACTCGTTTTAATGTTGGTATTTAATCTCTTTGTAAAAAGGAACTAAGAAAGTATTTTGTCTCGGTAACATAAAATAGTTAACTAAGAAACCACAACATAGAAATTACTTAGGACTTAACAATGAAACTAGCCTTACCTCACATTAATTTGAAGGACTAGGTAAGAGTTCTAAGCCTTGGCAGAGACATTTGGACAGGATATCTCCTTACTGTGACGAGGCCATCTTGTGCACTGTAGAATGTTTATAGCTGCAACCCTAGCCTCTACCAACTACTGGGTCATTGAAAAAGTCATGAGGCATTTTTGCATAGAAAAACATGAAAAAATGCATCATGATTTTTCCAACAACCCAACAGATGACAGCCCCCCTACACACACACACACACACACACACACACACACTCTCACACTCACACACTCACCATTGTGAAAATCAAAAATGTCCCCAGAAATGCCCAAAAGTTCTGAAAGCAAAATAGCCCTCAGTTGAGAACTACTGGAAAGATTATTTTCAATTTCAACATTTGGCTCCTATTAAACAGGTAAGTCTGTACAACTTCACAATGAATAAATGAGAAGAAATATAATGTAAAAAGCTAAATGATATTTTTTAAGGCCATGTAAAGATCTATGGGTATTAGCTTTACTTCTATTTCTTCGTGATTATGAAACAAGTTACAGATTTAAAACTTAATGCCAGTGCAGTATTTTCAAAGAAAAAGTATACACCATCTTTACATGTTTGTCCTGGATTTGAACAGGTACAACAATCCTTACGCAGTAAAACACAACTGAGATTGACTCAGATTATTTATCCTCTACTCCTCTCACACCTCCATCTTCAACAGCAAGTGAAACAATCCTAAATTTTGGGAAAACTCATCTAGAAATACAATATCAAAATATATGAAAGGTGGCTTCCAACTTTCAACTTAGGTATACTGTGTTTCACTGCTCATCTTTCCTTCATCATCCCATTCCTGTGAAGTTTAACAACTCTGGTGCTGGTAAAACTCTGTTTATAGCAATTAACATCATAAAAGGATATGCAACCTCTGGTATCTGTTGCAACAAACATGTAGTTTTCTTCTTTTGTTATTTTGCCTTCTTGACTTTTCAATTTATTTTTTCAAAAGTTTGAATATGCCCTACACCTGATTCAAAGACAAAGACATTCTGATATTGTACAAATAACTTGGATTCTAGTCTCACTTCTGACACTATCTGTAAGATGTGGAGGAAAATTTTTGCATTATTTCTTTTGGATCTCAATTTCATGCCTGTAATATATGGGGCTAAAAAAGATTATCTGAAAGTTTCCTTTTTAACTCTACAAGTAAAATTTTATATAGACTGATACAAATTTTTTATTAAAACATGTAAAAAACCAATTGACTACTATTTGGCAATTTTTTATTCACAAAAACAACTTCTAATTTAACTGGGAAAAACTTACTTGGAAATAGGGTTTACACTGGCCTCCACAATTGTCAAAACTTTACAATTTTTTATATTTTCTGGAAATTCCTGTATTCCTTGAAAACAAACAAAAATGATCAAATTAAAAGAATATATTCCCAAGGTCAAAATAACAATAATAATTGATTAATGCATACCTTGAAAATTCAAAAATAATTAATCAACTAAGCAGGAATATCAACATAGCACACACCATCAATGTGAATCATTTGCAATCACCTCAACAATGTCTATTTTCCCTTTCATCTTTTCATCATTTGTCTCTTTATAACTGCCAATTACTTTGATTAGTTTTATATTCCTTTCCTCCTCTTCACTCTTCTAAAAATGAGTACTTGCTCTATGTGATAATAAGGACACAAAATGTGGAATATTTAACATTCTCTCATACAGAAAAAAAATTACATTTTAAATACAAGGCTTTAGACTGAGTGAGTCTCTAATATATATAAACTAAAAAAGGTGGAAAAAAAAACTACAGATAGCAGAGGTGGGAAATTTACATCACATATAGCAGTGGACATGCCTGAAGTCAATATGATTAATTATCCAACAAGATTATTACTACAGGATCATTAAAGAACCTTTCAATTTCATAACTATGTTTGTATTAGTTTTTTAGAGAGATTTTTGCTATAGGGCGCATGTGCCCGCTGGAAACAGAGACAGAAAGCGAAAAATCACCCCCTAGGAGGGATGGCCATGCCACAATCCCTTCTTCACCACTCTTCTCTTGGGATTTTGAGCACATAAGCACACATACCCGGCGTTGAGTTCGAGGACTCGAACCGTGGTCAGCCATGTGGGAGTCCAGGGCCTTGACCACTATGCCACCTGCTGGCCCCCATAACTATGATTCTAAATAAGGAAGTTTACAACAATGCTACATATGCAGGTGATGAAAAATGAATGGTGCAAAATCACCAATTAACAACTACTGTAGTAGTAACACTGATTTCAGTCAAAATTCACCAATGGATTCTAAAATAAGTAAAAGCATGATGATGAGCAGAATATTTATACAGTTTCAAAGATACTTCCCACAAGAAATTTATAAATTACAAAAGAAAAAATTAAGTTTATAGGGGACAAATATGACAGGCACCACTTTAACCTTAAAAAATTGCTTCATAGTTAGCATCACCAGTTAATATCATGTAGCAACTGATCTGAGATTCACTGAGAAACAATGCAGTATCACCATATACCTCCCACAAACATACAGCCTGAACTTAATCATAATTAGACATCAAACACACACAAATTAAGAAAAATTCTGTTATACAGCTGCCTAGTAATCTTAAAAACTATCAAGGTAAAAAAGACATGGAAACAGAGAAAATACTTGGATGATAGAAAAACAGAAGACATTGGACAACTAAATGCACTAAGTGAAAGTAAGTGTTGGTGAAAGTGTGGAGAAACTGGGAACTACATACATTACAGACAGGAATAAAAAATGACATAGCTGCTATGGAAGATGATTTGGAATTTCTTCAAAATGTCAAACACAGGGATAAGCAGATGGCAAAATGGTTATGTCACTGGACTCCAATGTAGTAGACAGCAGTTTGAGTACTGGACCCGGTGGCTTAAAACTCACGCCATGCGCACATGTGTGTATGTATGCCCAATATCCAAGAGAAGAAGGGATTGTGGCATGGCCATCCCCTCTGGGGGGGTGATTTCTCGGTTTCTGTCTCTCTCTGTTCTGTTTCTCCAGCGAGTGTATGTGCCCTATACCAAAACCTCTCTACAAAACAAAAACAAAAACAAAAACAAAAATGGTCAAACACAGAATCAGAATTACTCTATGACTAAACATCTCAACAAGTATTACATATTTGAGAGAATTAAAAACTATGCTTGGGACCAGCAGATGAGGCAATGGCTATGTTGCTGGAATCCCATGTAGTTGATGGCGGTTTGAGTACTGGACCCAGAAGCTTAAAACTCAAGCCAGGCACGTGTGCATGCATCCTCAAAATCCCGAGAGGAGAATGGAGGAGAGGGGACTGTGGTGTAGACACCTCCCTGAAAGAGTGATTTCTCAGTTTCTGTCTCTGTCTCTCAGGCACATGCATGCACTCTATAGCAAAACTCACTCACAAAATAAAAATTAAATCAATAAAAAACATGTTTGCACAAAACCAGCATTATTCACAATAGTTTAAAGAAGAAACCATCGGGGGCCAGCAGTTGGCGTAATGGCTATGTCGCTGGACTCCCACGTAGTCAACCGCAGTTCAAGTCCCGGACCCGGTGGCTTAAACTCACGCCAGGCGCGTGTGCGTGCGTGCCCAAGATCCCGAGAGGAGAATGAAGG